AATTCTTAATAAAGAAGTTGAGCCAACGATGACGTTATTTTCACCAGTCACGTGCTCATCACGTGCAGGAGTGTCGTTCAATCTTTTCCCATTTCCTCTCGACCATTGCTAGCTGGCGAATTCGGTGTACGAGCAGGTAAACGTAACTAACGTCTTTATAAACGGCGGGTAACTGGTCTTGTAAACTCGTTTTAGGCTTACAATGCACACGTTCGTCCCATCAATCTGGCCGAGGTTAGCTTGGCAATGTTTGTCAAAATCCGCAACAGTTTCGTTGTCCCCAGGGATTCCAAACGCTCTGACGCGTATGACCTTCAATGTTCCAGGACATTGGAGAGAGATGTCGTCATTTCCGGTTCCCTCGGCTGAAAGGAAATATGGAAACGTAGACACGACTGAGAAATTTGTCACAAGTAAAATTCTTCCCCCAAAAAATTGATGACTCTGAAATGCTCTAGATTCAGATAAACTGGCTGTGGCGAAAAGAGGGAACTACAGGAATTTTCCAAGTCGAATTTCGAAAGTTATACGAAAAAGATAGTTGATTGCCACAACTAAAACAATAAACCCCCCCGGCATTTTCCTTAACAAAAAAGGGGAGAAAACAAAGATTATTTAAAGTTTTTCATTCCTGAATATGGAAGGTAGTTATCTGGGGGAGCCGTGCTGGTTCAAATAATTTTGTGCTCACCTTTTTTCTCTGTTTTTACCATCCTCGTGGGGCGAGGTGTCGAGGGACCCGTTGAAGTAACATTGAACGGTGTTGTAAAGTTTATTCCTGCGACAATAAAGAGAATAGCGAGGAGTTAATGGTACACATCTTACATTTAAATGTTTAGAGCGGTTTTCATTTGAGTATCGACAGGTAATTGGTTTTGCATCAACTACGCTACACGATCGGCTTCAAAAAAAAACTCGCGCTACTTTTTCATCCAATCAGGAGTAAAAGCAAAACTAATCGTGACTCCCGCGCACACCCACTCTTCGCGTCACCTGCATGCATTTAGTTCGAGTTTTGATTGGTTCACTGGATTGTCTGTGTCCTTTGCGATTGGTTAAAGTCATTACCTTGGGTTTGGGTTTACGACTCTCAATTGAAAACTGCTTTAACGGTGTTTTGCTTGCACCTGATATTTAAAAGGAATCAAGACTGATAGGGCCCGCCCTAGAGCCCCAAGCCTGAATAAAAACACTCTTTATTTATTTTCATATACCCTTCTGAAACTTAAGTGTGCAAGATAAACATCAGTGTCAAACTCGCCTAATGGCTCGTGTGCCACTTTTTTGACTCATTATGACGTCCTCTGTGATATATTACTGAACAGACGCACGGCAACATGGAATATATTTAATAAAGTTTATCGACATACCAATCTGAGTACCTTTCGTTATGGCTGATTCACTGGTGATAGCATTATGTGGAGTAATTGCCTCACTTTTTGGCCCGTCTTTAGATTTGACATATCCATTTATCGAAGGAAGATGAGGGTTTCTCATTTCTAAATTAGCTGTGAACAGTGAGTGTCACAAGAAACTGTTAAAGAGAAAGTTGACTCAGAACTTTTTTTGGTTCTCAGAGAGAAAGAAAGTTAGAAGAAGGAAGAAAGCAAAGGGGAGGGGAAAGAGGAAGTAGAAAGGAATGATGGATGGACAGATATACAGAAAGATAGGCAAAAATTCACTCAGTCAGTCAGACAGAGATAGACAGTCAGTCAAACAGACAGAAAGTTATTCAATCAGTCAGTCAGACCGTCAGAAGGACAAACAGGGACAGTCTTTAATGCAGAAAGATAGAAAGTCAGTCGACAGACACAAAGAACAGACAGATATTCGATCAGTCAGTCAGTTAGTCAGACCGATCGACAGACAGAAAGGCAGACGGACAGACGGACAGACGGACGGACAGAGAGACAGGCAGGCAGGGAAGCAGACCAAGGGAAGTCAAATAAAGATTTAAAGTAAGCAGACAAACCTTTACAGAGTTGTATGACAAAAACTAGGTAGGGAATAAGTCCAACAAGACCGCCAAGGAAAAAGCAGACAGCATAACGAACCAGAAGAGCTGTTTGTGGGTTATGCTTCCGTGAGAAGAAACGGAATACTTTCTGAACGTAGAGAAAAAGAGAGAACTGATAAGAGTTATGTATCCATGGAAATGAAGAATGCGCCGATAAGGCCTTGAGAGAGGAAGAAACTGGAGGAGTTTCTTAGGATGGATGTTAGAATTATATCGATCAAGCGTTTTGTTATGGTGTAAACCGGATTTAGAATACTCAACTTATCTATTTATTTATTACCGATTACTGAAATTCCAAAGATCTATATAATAATTAGTTAATCGTTATCTTCTTTTTATATTAATTGCAACAGTTAGCTTTGATAACTGCTGCAAGTGGAAAAGTCAAAACTGTTCAACAAGCTGTTTTTGTTTCCACATGGACTCGAATACCACAAACCTTTTTTCCCCTTCCCGGCGGAGGAGGGGAAGGCCGAATCAATAATACCAATGTAAAGCGGATGCTCGTAATAAATTTTAAATCAGACAACAGAACGTTACCAAAATCTATATCATCATCATCATCATCATCATCATCATCATTTTAGGGGGTGAGGAGAGGGGCGTAGCTCAAGTCACGATATAGTGTCTGCCTAACGGCCACATCCTAAACAGCATTTTTATCTCTAAAAGATACGACCAGCATCTTTGTCAGTACCACAAAGTCCTTCCTCTCCCCACCCCGGCATCCATTTAACACTAAATGTTGTCATAAAACATCTGGGAACTGATTTGCATTAATTTTTAACGGCGTACTATCTCAACAATGAACCAACGTAATCGAGGTCCGACAACGTCCTGACGAGTTTAGGCCCTGGTGTTAACTTCAGTGCTAACTTATAGTTTGTCTCTCTGCGTGGAGTAAACAACAAATGTAATAACTATGATGTCAGTAACATTAAAAGAAGAGAGAGATAGAACAAAGACTTACACGAACTGCCTCACTGTCTCCGGAGCTTACCGATTTCGGTCCCATTTCTTCGTCCGAGTCCATGATCTGTCGTCTCCTCGCCGGATTCTGTCGTGACATGATCGGATCTTCCCGTTCCTTTTGTTTCTTCTTGCTCGAGGTTGACGGTGGTGGACTGAAAACCGTTTTAAAAAGAAATTTGTTGATTAAAGAGCATGTTTTTTTTAAAATAATTGTTTAAATGGTTATGTTTCCTTTCTTTTTCTTTTAGTTTTTAGTTTCTGGCGACGGCGTGTGCACAAAAAATGACACTAAACGGAGCGCCCGTAGCGAAATAGTGAAGACACCAACCTCGTTCCCAGAGT